CTCTTTTTTGATAAAAGCATCTCGAATATAGGTTTCCAGTCTTACCAACTGGTCAATTGTACTTCGGTTTTTTCTAAAACCACATTGTATATTAGATAGAATATTATTGGTTTCAAGAAACCATATGAGGCGTTCATTAATCATCCTTTCCATGGTTTTACATAAGCAGCTTGTTAAAGCAATTGGTCGATAATTATTTGGATCCGTATGATCCTTTCCAGGTTTTGGAATAGGAATAATTGTAGCTTGGGTCCAGGAAGGCGGAAATTGACCTCGCTCCCAAATTGTATTAAAAATTTTCAAAAGACATTCTTTACTGTTTATAGGAAGGTGTTTAATTATTTGGTAATGAATCTGATCTCGTCCTACAGCTGTATCATGAGACTTTTCTAAGGATTTTTGAAGTTCGTCAATAGTAAATGGATGATTATAGCATTCATTGTTTTCAGATGTAAAATCTAACGTTTTATTTTCTTGAGATGTTTTATGTTTACTAAATTTAGGGTTCACATTTTTTGTGGAAGAATTTTTATGAATTGTACTAGCTATTTCATTGGATATTTGTTTTTTATCCGTTATAATTTGATTTCCAACCTTCAGATGTTGATATTTTTCAGGACCTTTTCCTTTTATTTTCCTTATTGCGTTCCAAACCTTATTGATAGGGGTATGTGAATTAAGGTTGGACACGAACTTTTTCCAAGATTTTCGTTTATTAAAATTTATAGTTCGACGAGCTTTTGCTCTAAATATGCGGAAATTGCTTAAATTTAGAGATGTTGGTAATCTATTAAACTGTCTTTCTGCTTTTTTGCGAGCTTTAATAGCATCATTACATTCTTCTGTAAACCATGGTTTTTTGATTCTAGTAGAATTTGTCGAGGTTTTAGGTATGCATTTATTTGCAGTATTTAATAGTATTTCAGTAAATTTTTGAATTGGATCAGGATTGTTTTCAAACTTTTCATCCGAAATATTTTGTAAACACATAATTTCAAATTGTTTCCAATCAGCCTTGTTAAGTTTCCAGTTTTGAGTAGAACTATTTTCTTCGGGTTTGTTTACTTTAATTATAATTGGGAAATGATCACTTCCACATAAATCATCATTTACTGACCAACTGAAATCCAAGAGTAAAGAAGGATCTACTAAAGTAATATCTATTGAAGAATATGAACCATTACCCGGATGCAGGTAAGTGCTAGAGCCGTTATTAAGTATACAAAGGTTATGATGTGATATTGCATCTTCAAGTTTTTTCCCTTTATCTGTTATTTTATCACTACCCCATAATGGATTATGAGCATTAAAGTCACCCACAACCATAAATGGAGCAGGAAGTTGTTGTATTAATTTTGTAAGTTCTAAAGTTTGTAGATTATAGTTAGGAGGTACATACACAGAGCAAATTGTAATTGTTTTTTCAAGAGAAAGGCGTACAGCTACTGCCTGAAGATTTGTTTTTAAATCTACTTGGCTATGAATGTACTTATTGTTAATTGCTAGAGAGGTACCACCAGATGCTCTCTCCGTTTGAGCATAATGGTTGTACATACTATAGTTTTTAATATTAATTGTATCCGTTTCCCTTAAATGTGTTTCTTGTAAGCATACAGCTACCGGGCAATGGTCCTGAATAAGTAGAGATAATTCGTTAAAGTTGACTTTAAAACCTCGACAATTCCATTGAATAAACGTTGGATGATGTATTTTTATTTAATATGAGAAATAGGGGATATCCTCCCTTTACTTTTGGGGGGTGATACACTCCGGGCTCGCGAGGAAGATGTCCATCTCCTCGAAGACCCCAAATTTATTATGGAGAGTGACGGCTCCTTTCGGCAACCTATCACTCGACTGTTTTGGGGTGTTTTTAGAAGTGTTTTTTGAGGGAGATCTGTTTTTTCTCCCCGATGATGTTGATTTGCTCGTAGCTGCTGGCTGTGAAGTAGTCGCAGCTACGTTTTTTTGTGCAGAACCTGCAGAAGCAGGCATTGAAGTGGGTTTACCTTTGTCAGATGACAGAGGTGTTTCACAGGATGAAGTCTGCTGTAGAAAGTCTTTCTCAGAGACTTGTGTAGACATGTCCTTCAAAGAGGACGTTTTCACAACAGTTGCATATGAAGTCAAATTCGGTCCTGGAACACTGTACATGTTTACCAATTTTTTGGCTTCTGGATAAGGTATTCTTTTTTGAGCTTTAACTTTTTGTATTTCTTTTTCTTTTTTCCACATAGGGCATTGTTTGGAGGAAGCCATATGCCCGCCCTTGCAATTTTTGCATTTTGGGTCATTATGACATCCCTTACCATCATGCCCCTCTTCACCACACCTGAAGCACGATTCAGAACTTTTACAATTTGACTGTCCGTGTCCAAATCTCTGACACTTAAAGCAACGCAGAGGATTTGGGACGAACATCTCCACTTTCATATTGTAAAGTCCAACTTTAATACTTGTAGGTAAGATTGGCATACCAAAGGTCAAAAGGTACGTATTTGTCGGTTCTATGTTATCGTTTCGCTTTTTTGTAAACCTTTTCACAGAGACCACTCCCTGGGATTCCAACTCGGATTGGATTTCCTGCTCAGGAATGTCATCCAGGTCGTGATCTCTGTCGAAAAGGATACCCTTGCATTGATTCAATCCACTGTGGATTTTGCCAACAACAGGAATATCGGCAAGCATTTTCAAACTCAATAAAGAAGTTGACTGTTGTTTTTTGGTAACTTCGATAAGTAGAGCACCGGATCTCAACTTTTTAACAGATTTAGGAGTACCGATGATTCCTTGAATACCTTTTTGAATGATAAATGGTGATACCTTTGTCAAAGGTTTCATATGTTGTTCTGAAGTTTGTGCCTCAAGCGTGATGAAGCGTGGCCAGTGTTCCACGACCGAATTCAGTTGTTCATCGTTAAAAGTAATATCAAAACCTGCTGGGTAGCAACGTTTTTTTGAGAGAGCCATGATTATACAGAAAAAGATTCAGAATCCTTGCTCCCCGCCCGCCTCGGAGCGCCAACAAGGGCGATATCCAGTCAAACGGTCATCCAGTAAGACTGATACCAAGAGGATACAAAGAAACTATACTCAGACATGATATGCCTGATTGACCCTCAGCCACCGCTTAATATATAAATATCAACATGGAAACGTCGGCGTATTGGAAATTGCAAAACAGAGGTAAAGAAATAAGAAAAAGAGATGCAAAACATCAATACTAGGGCATGTAGATATCATCAGCTCGGCATGACTAGCCGATTGATCAAGTCGGGCCAAACTTGACCTCCCGTCTAGATGAATATGGGGCCAAAGTGGAGTGTTGGTCTCACAGGTGCATTACACCCAGCACCTGCAGACCTCAACCACCAGGATCCCCTTCTCCGCCAACACGGGTCGCAACCCACGGCCAACAGGTTGCCCCATTTAGTCGCCTCGTACGACATGCAAGGGGGTGCCAGGGACCTATTCTTATCACATGATACATGATTCTGTACATTGGTTTTTGATTTTGATGAACGGTGTTGTCATGGTTACTAAAAATAGAAATTTCTGTAAAATTTTGGTCTGATTTCAGTATAACTTGGCACACATGTATACTACACTAAGATACATTTCGATGAACGGTATTGCTGTGGTTACTAAAAATAGAAATTTCTGTAAAATTCATTCGAAATGCTACTCCTCCTACAGTTTTGGTATGATTTCAATATAACTTGGCACACAAGTAGACTACACTAAGATACATAATTCTGTGCATCGGTTTTTGATTTTGACGAATGGTGTTGTGGTTACTAAAAATAGAAATTTCTGTGAAATTCTTTCAAAATGCTACTCCTCCTACAGTTTTGGTCTGATTTCAATATAACTTGGCATACAAGTAAACTACACTAAGATACATAATTCTGTGCATCGGTTTTTGATTTCGATGAACGGTGTTGCCGTGGTTACTAAAAATAGAAATTTCTGTGAAATTCTTTCAAAATGCTACTCCTCCTACAGTTTTGATCCGATTTCAATATAACTTGGCATACAAAAAGACTACATTAAGATTCATAATTCTGTGCATCAGTTTTTGATTTCGATGAACGGTGTTGCCGTGAATACTAAAAATAGAAATTTCTGTGAAATTCCTTTCGAAATGCTACTCCTCCTACAGTTTTGATCCGATTTCAATATAACTTGGCACACAAGTCGACTACACTAAGATACATAATTTTATGCATTGGTTTTTGATTTCGATGAACGATGTTGCCTTGGCTACTAAAAATAGAAATTTCTGATTTATTTTGATGAGTGGCAAGGATCATTTTTCTATTTATTGCTGTTTTAAAGTTTCAAGTCCCAACTGCTACTTTTCTCTTCCTTTGTTTCAAGTATAAACCAGTAGAGCTACAGTCTCGACAGAGACTTCTGGTTTCAAAATGCTACTCCTCCTACAGTTTTGGTCCGATTTCAATATAACTTGGCACACAAGTAGACTACACTAAGATACATAATTCTATGCATCGGTTTTTGATTTTGATGAACGGTGTTGCCGTGGTTACCAAAAATAGAAATTTCTGTGAAATTCCTTTCGAAATGCTACTCCTCCTACAGTTTTGATCCGATTTCAATATAACTTGGCACACAAGTCGACTACACTAAGATACATAATTTTATGCATTGGTTTTTGATTTCGATGAACGATGTTGTGTAACGCCGTCGAGCGGTAAACGGCTCTATTTAAATAATCCAAGTGTGATCAAACTCCAGTTTTATTAATAATCCATGTGACTTAAATTCTCCAACCTCTAAAGCATTCGCTTTAGGTTAAATGAAACGCAAAATTAAATTATTTACAGTTTATTTACATCACAAATAAATCCAAGTTTCACACATTATAAAACACTGGCCGGACTGCACTTTTTCCTACATGTACATCCCGTAATAGAATTAATAAGACTGACTGCGCTTAAGCTTTTACTCGACCTATATATATACATAATGTGCATTGCTCATAAGGAGCAATCTTTTTTAACGGGGTATATACAGATAACCTCTCGGGTGTCCGCCGACTCGTCTTCCAGCATCTCGACTATCCGGTCACTAGTAAAATCTGCACAATTATGGAGAATGTCTTCTACCAGAGATTCGTCGATCTCCGGCAATTCTGATGCAAAAGAAATATCATCGAGATAATCCACATTGGTCACATCAGTCTCTTGCGCGTCACAGTAAGTCTCCTCGTTCTCATCGGACGAAATGTCTTCGTACAAGTTGCTGTGAACGTAGACAGGTTTCCTGGATTCAAAGAAGTCATCACGCTCGACTCGTCTCCGCTTTGAGGGCATGGCTGCTTCTAATTGTTCACTGTTTAGTTTGTGAACTGAAGTCAAGTGTCTTTTCAAATTAAATCTTCGCAAAAAGGGTCTCTGGCAATAACTACACTGTAAACTATTTACATGATCACTATGTTTCTCTCTGGTATGCAGGTGAAGATTACTGCTGGTGCTGAATGTCTGTCCACAAGTTTCGCACAACATTTGTCGAATGTTTATTTTCTGAAACGGATGGGGGTTCTTATAGTCCGTCCTCCTCGGGTCATCTTCATTCTTGGTTGTGATTGGTCAGCTTCCGAATTGTCTGTTCTCGGGGGCGGAGCTAGCGGTAACTTCAAACGCCGCCGGCCTGGTCCAGACGCGTGCCGTTGTTGACCGTCTGGTGTCTCGCCACCCGTGTATTCCGCTGTCTCGCTGGTTGTATAGCGGGACTGCTGTCGCTCTCCGCGGTAGGGTTTGATGTTGTCGGCGTGCACTATGACGGGTTTTGACTGTTTTGAATGCTTAATTTCATAAAGCACATCACTTAATCTTCTAATTATTATCCATGGTCCAGTCCATTTTCTCGACAGTTTTAACTTTTGTCCTTTATCGACTTTTGGTTGACTTCTTCGTACTAAATCTCCAACTTCATAATAAACTTCACGCACGTTACGATCAAAATAACTTTTCTGTCTCTGAGATGCTTCTTTCGTAACTTCCCTTGCGTAATCATGAATTGTGGAAAGTTTTTCCTCTAAGTCGCGCACATAAACTGCTCTGTTCGCATCTTTTTCGGGCGTTTTCATCGCTTCGTTTTCAGTCAGAACATTTATCGGTAATTTGGCTTCTTTACCAAAAACTAGTCTATATGGCGAAATCCGTGTAGTTTCATGCGGAGTAGTGTTGTACGCGAGAACGATGCCATCCACAAAACGGTCCCAATCAGTTTGATTTGCATTAATGTACTTAGACAGCATGTCTTTTATCGTTCTGTTCATCCTCTCTACCATTCCGTCTGACTGGGGATGATATGGTGAAGTACGCGTTTTGTCAATTTGAAATAATCGGCACATTTCCTGAAAAAGTTTACTTTCAAATTGTTTTCCTTGGTCTGAGTGAATAGCTCCAGGACACCCGTATCTCTTAATCCATCCTTTAAACAGGACCTCGGCTACCGTTTCAGCTTCCATGTTCATGAGTGGAAATATCTCAGCAAATTTTGTAAAATAATCCATCACTACCAGAATGTAAGAATATCCATTATCTGACTTTGGGAATGGTCCGGCTAAGTCCAGTGCTATTCTTTGAAAGGTTTCACCACTCAGGAAAGTTTTCATACGCGATCTCTTTTTCCGAGGCGGATTTTTCCTCTCTTCACACACATCACACGCTAATACGTAGTCATGAACGAACTGACGCATCCTAGGCCAATAATAGTCGGAATTCCTGACTTTTTCTAAAGTCTTTTTGACACCCATATGACCTCCAACATTAGAGTCATGGAAGTGCCATAACACAACCTGACGCAGTTTCCGTGGTAGACATATCTTTAGTTCCTCACTATTATTTGAAATCCAGCGAATACACAGAACACCTTGATCAATGCACAATAAATCCCATCTTGAATACCAATATTTGCACTCGAAGTTTTCACATGACACAGCTGATAATGGTGGTTTTTCATTCTTTTCCATCCAATGGAGAATAACGCGCATTCCAGGGTCATTCTGTTGTTTTTCTCGAATATTTCCTCGATTTAATGACTCCTCCGGCTGTTTCCGAATCTTTGCTCGCATTGGTCTATTTGTTCGCTTCTTCTTCACAGGGGAAATAACGGCACAATCACTTGATTTTTCAGAGTTTGTGTTATCCTTAAACAATACACTTACATCAAACACGTGATTGACACTTCCTTTTGAATTATTCCTTAGTTCGGAAACATGTGAATATTTCTGAATTTCACTTCCTTCACTTTTCTCACGTTTACACTGTTTACATTTCGATTCACAAGAAACACGAGATAATGCATCTGCATTTCCATGTCGTTTCCCAGCCCTATGTTCAATCTTAAATATGTACGGTCCAAGTCGCTGAAGCCACCGCGCAATTTGTCCATCCGGTTCTCGGAATCTATGAAGCCACACCAAGGATCCATGGTCTGTTCTAAGCAAAAACTCTCGACCAAGTAAATAGTGCTTAAAGTGTTGAACAAAGTACACAACAGCTAGCATTTCCTTGCGTGTAACACAATAATTTCTTTCAGAATTATTCAACACACGGCTTCCATAGGAAATCACAATTTCTCTTCCATTCTTAATCTGCGATAACACAGCGCCTATAGCATCATTGCTAGCATCAGTGTCTAGTATAAAGTCACCAGCATTCACATCGGGATATCCAAGAATAGGTGCAGTTATCAATTTCTGTTTCAAAAATTCGAACGCTGTATCACATTCTTGTGTCCAATTCCATTCTTGATTTTTCCCAGTAAGAATATGCAGACATTTTGCGGTTTTAGCAAAGTCTTGAATGAATCTCCGGTAATACGCTGCTAGTCCTAAGAAACTTCTAAGTTCCGTTACATTGCTCGGTGTTTTCCAATTTTTCACAGCTTCTATTTTTGAAGGATCTGTTTTAATACCCTCCTTTGAAACGATATGTCCAAGAAAGCTCACTTCCCGCCTGAAGAAATTGCACTTCTTCGCTTTTAGTTTTAGGTTTACACTCTGCAATCTATCTAATACTAAACTAAGATTATCTAAATGTTCGTCAAAAGTACGACTGTACACAATAATGTCATCCAAATATAAGACTGTTATATTCCACTGTAGTCCATTTAATGCCTGTTCTATAACTCTTTGAAACGTTGCCGGGGCGTTGCATAATCCGAAAGGCATAACCGTATAATGGTAAAGGCCACCACGAGGTGTAGCAAACGCTGTTTTCTCCTTATCCTCCTCACTCATAGGAATTTGATGGTAAGCCATATTGAGATCTAATGACGAAAACCATGTAGATCCAGCGAGGGAGTCGAGATCATCTGCCACACGAGGTATCGGATAAGCATCTTTGATGGTATTCGCATTTAATTTCCGATAATCGACACAAAGCCTCCAGCTTTTGTCCTTTTTCTGGACTAATACAATAGGAGCGGACCAGGGACTGTTGGACTTCTCTATTAATCCCTGTTCTTCTAATTTCTTGATTTCCTCATCCATTATTTCCTTCTTGAAAATAGGTACCCTGCGCACTGATTCCTTAAGGGGAATTTCCTCCTTTAACTTAATGCGATGTTCCCCAATCGTTGCACGCTCCACTGGTTTGTTTGGGTCTGCAAACGCGTCCACACGAGCTAAGAGAAAGTTCTTAAACTTTGCCGCTTGCTCTTCAGTTAGATTTTCACTTGCTTCTTTAAAAACTTGTTCTAGATGCTCTGGCAATTTGTCGCCTCCTGACATTACACTACACACTTCCGGGGTCTTCAATGTTGACACAGTTTCTACAGGATCAAACACAGCTATCTCGGTACACTTCTGTACATAAACGTCATGGTCATTCGGATTAAACACGCGCACAAAAATATAATTCACACCACGTGTAGATTTCACTAACTCTCTTGCCACAGCTAATCCATGATTATGTACAAATAATTTTAGAGGTAACAGCACCCCATCACAAGCATCTACACTACTATCGAATGTAGCCTTTATAATACTCTCGTGATGAGCTGGAACAACACTGTCCTCCATGCTAATAATATAATATCCCCGCAAAACTTCAGCATCTGAATTAAGGTTGCACACATTAGATACATAGTTCCATTGACACTGGAATTTGGTGATAAAATCTTGGCCCAGTAAATTACATTTTACGTCTGCCACAAACACTCGAAATATCACTTGAAATCCTTGAAAAGAAAGTAGCATTTTTGCAGTTCCCGTAACTTTCAATTTTCTTCCGTCGGCTGTATTAAATTGCTTTTTAGCGCGCTCCAGCACAGGTCTGTGTTCTGGAAGAATGTTCCAATAAACCTCTTCTGTTATGAACGTGTTCATTGCACCAGTGTCAAATTTCCATTCTAACGATGTGCCTTCTACTAAGCCATCTAATCTCATTCCTGGTTTTCCTCTAATTTCTATAACTCCTTGATTTTTCTCGTTAGATTCGTAATTCAAGTGCAAATTTCCAACATCTGTTTGAGTTGATACTGCAGGCATTTCTACACTGCTATCATCCTGACGTTGTTCCTCTCCTGTACTAGGCCGCTTAACTAACTGCTGTGCCGACACATGGCCTACTGCCTCGACACTCTTAAATTTAAAGATTTCTGGGGGGTTTGGCTAACAGCATTTTTTCGCTTTGGACAGTCTTTATACAAATGCATAGAAGAATTACAGCCGTAACATTTCCTCAAAGTTTTACTTTTATCCTCCATATCTGGATTAGTGCGGTACGTTTTCCTGGTCACTGGGACTTTTCCCTGAGGGGAGAACTCGCTAACTCTATAAATGGGTCTTACAGGGTTGTTTTCCCTGTTTCTTAAATTCCGATTCTCTGTCATACGAATGCATTCCTCCTGCATCGCAGCAGTCACTGCTTCCTGTAGGCTTTTTGGTCTAGTGCGCTTCACAGCTAAGCGGAAATCATCATCATGATTACAGTTGTCCATAAAAGTTTTAAGACTAGCTTCTTCCACATAGTCTCGATTTCCAGGGTGAGCTCTTCTATACAAATCAGCTATCGCTTGGCCAAAATCCCGGAACGATTCTGTCTGGAGCTTTTTCCGCATTTTTGCCTCAACGATATAGCTCTCCTTCATCGCAGTATGTCCGAATCTTTTGTCCATTTGTAGTTTAAGTTGGTTATAGTTCCCTATAATATTATCTGGTAGTCCATATGCAAATGCTTCCGCTTGTCCACGGAATGTAGTAATAAGAACTCTTCGTCTCATGTCAATGGACCAATTATTTAACGCAGCAATATTCTCAAAATATCTCACAAATTCACTCCACACTTCTGTTCCTTCTCCTTTGAATGTGCGTTTGACCTGAATGTTTAATCCCCGTCCTGGCAATCCAACTTCCTCATTGTAACTTCCGGCTTCCTGATCTGATGCTCTATCAGTTGAAATATTCCGCACAGTGCTAGTTATCCGTCCACCATTACGCGTAGTCCTTTTCTGAGTAGATTGACACATTTTCCAAAGAACAGCACACACGATC